CATGAAGTAACCTTTTAACCTATTATTTAAAGAAACTTTAATTCAAATGAATATTTCTTTTTTAAATAAATTTTTGCTTTTTAATTAATGACATACCATGTCATCTTTCACTAAAACAGAAGAAAAACTCAATATTAAAACTCCAAGACAGTCTGATTAGTCTGATGTTTTACCAGCTGTTGTTTGTTCTCCATAACTAATCATTAATTTCAAAAAAAAATTATAAAATCAAAGTTAAAAAAATAAATACATATTATCATATTTAAAAATACTAATGATAAATATTTTTACCATTTTCAATAAATGTATATATATCTGTGTATTTTGTGTTTATTTATAGCTAAATAAAAAATTGAAAAAAACAAAATGAACAAGATTTTGTGAACAGTTGTTATTTTATCAAATGATCAATCGGTGTACACTAAATCATTTGGATTGAAAGATTAATCAAGCTATTCAGAGTAAGATAGAAATTTATTATTATGGAGATCTGGGTTATCAATATTAAACGTTAATATTACAATCTGTTTACATCATGAACAAATTTTACTTAACCCGTTTGCTAACTCCCAAAAAAATTGCATCGACCCATTTAAAAAGCATAAAACTAATAAAATTATTAAATTTTTATTTTTATAACTTATTGCGCTGTCAAAAAGGAACCCATGCTGTTTATAAATGTGCAATACACCAAAACCTAAAGCTTATGCTTAGTGCGGTTAAACTGGAGAAGAATTACCATGAACTTATTGAGAAGATTGTTTGTAGCAGAAAGTTAAGGAAATGCATGGTCCATAGATGTAATCAATGCCCTGGAATTCAAAATATTATAAATTTTATAACTGCAAATCTATTGTAAAATGAAAGATCATTTGAAGAGAATGACAAAGTGGATGAAGAGGAAATAATTGAATACAAACAGTGGTGTACAAAAAATAGAGAAGAGCTTCTAAGTTACACATCTACAATAAGTGAATTCATTGAAAGTCTTAGTGAAAAACTTGATAGCATAACATCTCACTCTTATATTGCTAAAGCACAAAGTAAATATAATACAGTACAAATTAAATACATTATTATTTTAGTTGATTTTGCAGAAAACTTTAAATTTGTCATACAAGACAAAATCATAGTGCATTGCTGTTGGTGCTAGTAGCAGAGTTACTACTGGAACCAACAGCAATGCACACTACATCCTTTAGTTATTTATAACAAAAATAATGAGGGTTCTACTAAAAGTCAACCAATGTCTTTATGTTTTATATTTGATGACTTAACACACTAGGTTGAGTTTATTTATTGCATAGTAAAAAGAACTGTCCAACTTGTACAAGAAATGTTTCCTAATACCATAAAAATCCACTATTTCTCTGATAGTTGTGCTGGTCAGTACAAAAACTGCAAACATTTTTTTAATTTATGCTATCATGTTAAAGATTTTGGGACGCAATGTGAATGGAAGTTCTTTGCAACATCACATGGAAAGTCACTATGTGATGGCGTTGGTGGAACAGTTAAAAGACTTGTTTCAAATGCTAGTCTTCAACATCCAATTGACTTACAAATTCAAAATGCTGAAGAAATGTTTAATTTTTCAAAAGATAACATATTTGGCATCCACTTCTTTTTTTTAAAAGGCGAAGATATTTTATCAGTCCGCAAATCTCTGACTCTCCGATTGAATAATCAAAGACTTTACCTGGTACAAGAAGTTTCCACCAATTTATTCCACAGGATGCAACAAGCATAAATGTCAAGAGTCTCTGAGCAGGAAGAATTTGATCTAACATTCAACTTTACTGGCTCAATTCAATATCTTCAAGAAATCATTGCAGGAAAATATTATATCTGATATGTTTATATGGGTTGGTTTTGTATTTGAAGTTGATGAAAGAAATGAAGATGCCCTTTTAAAATTCATGAATCCTTGTTTACCTAACACTTCATTACACTGACAAAGTAGAGATGATTGTTGTTGGGTTCCTAAACCCCATATTTTAATTATGATAAAAAAAACCATTATCTTCAAGAACATGGGGCATATACCAGATAGACACATGATTTGCGGAAAATCCAATCTTTAAATTAACTCATACATATTATATCAATTTTCTTTTATAAGCAATTTATGAATTATTCAAGTTCTGGTTTTTTTTTACTAGTTTTTTATTTAAAACTTTTATTTGTTTGATTATTTTGACACAATATATTACATTTATTATGAATTTTTCATTTTAAATTTTGTTAATGGTTTTTTTTATTATAATGGAAGTTTTCAAAATAAGCAATTTCTTAATAAGTAACATCCAATTGTACTTTTTCATTATAATTCGTTTAATTATTTTTAAAAATCCTCAAAAAAACCCACCTCTCAATTTTGTACCAAAACACTTTATGATATATCTCCTTTAATAAAAATAAAAATAATTTTTTTTTTCTAATTAATGCTGCTATGGTTATCAGACCTCTTTTCCGTCTTTGTTAAAACTTAAAAAATAGCTATAGGTGAAGTACAATCCAAATAATGATAAACTTCTAATTGTTTTTATTAAAAACAAATATTATATTTTGATTTCTCTTCTTTAAAACTATACTGGTGCTAATTTTCAGCTTAATTACATGTTAAGTTGAACAGTAACTTGTAAAACAAAAACTGTAGTTAAATCAAAATGGCCGCCAAACAAGAAAAACTGCTAAAAATAGCTGATTTTAAGTAACAATACTACAAAACCCCTTTTGAAAATTTTGCAAGTTAGTCTATGTTATATAGGTGACCATTTTTACAAAGTATAAAGGAAATCTGAGATAGTGGGATACAAACCTTAAAAATTTGTCCCACTTTCTCATGGAATACCTCAAAAGCTAAACTTTTAATTTGTTCATTAATTAACTTTCTCATAAAGTATAGAATTATAATTCTTTTAGGAAAAAGGTTATGGCTAAAATGATCTGAATATTAATTAGGAAAAATTAACTTCCCACATTGTGCTCTTTGTATGTAAACATTGTATAATCAGCATTTACTCTATTTTTAAAAAAATAAGATTCAAAACAAGTTAGGAAAATTATTTAAATTTCCTTAACTCTAGAAATTGTGTATATCTTGCATTATAAAAAACAGTTTTGCTCAGCATTACTTGATTACTCAGCAATACAGATTAAACTTGATGTTTTATCCAAAACTTTGATTGTATTAATTAAGTCTAGAAAACACAACAAAAATTGATGGTCATCATACTATGATATCATAACTGCACTTTGATAATTTGTTGAGCAACACAAATAAGTTTTAAGTCATTTTTGTATTGAATTACTTGTTTTATGAATGTACCAGTTATAAATATTTTTCAAGTAATTCTGGTTGAATCGCAATTTCATTAAGTCTTTATTCAAGAAGAAACTTAACTTGCAACATTCTGTTGAGGACAAAATAACACTAAATGGAATAAGTCTCCACCTTAATTTTCTACTTTGGCTCAATACATGTAATCTACATAGTACTTCTATAATTTCATTGAAAAAAGCTTTTGTTTCATTGCAAATTTAGTGATTTATACTAAATAATAGCCATAGCAGGGTTTGTGATGTCATAAGTGTAAATCATTTATCAATAATTCAGTTAATTTTGTATTGTTAAAATGTTTTTTATCAAGATGCTAAGTTCATAAGTAAACTTCAAACCTATATTTAGGATGTCGATAAGTTTGTGCAGGAATTTTGAATCTATAATTAGTGATAGAAGTATATATTTTTTTGAATCTTAGCTGGAATTATTATTAGCTGTAATTCAAATCTATATTTAGAACGTCAAAATCTCTGCACAAGCTTGTGCAGGAGTTTTAAATTTATAACTAGTGATAGAAGTATATATATTTTTTGAATTCCAGCCGTAATTCTAAAAGGTTTGTTACACAAAAGTGATGTTATTATATTCTTCAATAAATGTAGGACATTTGCTAAAAATTCAATAGAACAACTTGAGTCACATGGATGTTTATTTAAACTGAAAAAATTATAACTTTAAGTACAGCTTATGTTAAAAGATTTCCACATTGACAGGTTATTTGTACCTTTATAAACAGAACTTTCACTATAATAATATGCTACAGTTTATTTTCATCTCGTAGATACTCCTCTAAGCATAAAAGCTAAAGTATGGTTAGCTTGGCCGTAATGTTAAGGTAATCTAACAATTCCATAGTATGAATTGATATTTTTTAGTTTAGTGCATTAATTAATGCACCTAACTAAATCTTTTTTATTTTCTTTTGCAACCATTTTATAGATTTTTTCTTTAAAGATTATAAAATTAAGATGAGATTTTCTTTATCAGTATTTGAAAATTAAAAATGTAAAATCACCAGATAAATTATTACCAAACTCTGTCTTCCAAATTTAAAAAAACAATTCAATATAAATTTTGAAATACAATTTTAAATATTAATTTTTAAAAAAATATTACAAATGCATAATGATATGACATTATATGATTGTAACAATATAAGAATGATGACTGTTATAAGTCAATATGAAAACTGCATAATGATGAAATAATAGTGACTGATACCCAACTAAAAATGTAAAGTTATAACTAACAATAATAATTCATTCTGATTAGGAGTTATAGTGTATAGTTCATTCTGCTAAGCAACATAAATTTTCTGTTTTCTATTATGAATAAGTTTCAGTTATAAAAGTAAATAAAGCAATAAATTACTTTGTTTCAATAACTAATTGTTCAATCAAATAATAAAATATACTTAAAAAACAAATTATAAATAAATATATTAAATCACTTTAGCCTCCATACATATATTTAAGATAAAAGAATGTTTAATTACTTCCTTATTAAATTTTGAACAAAAAAACAAAAACATTTGCTTTACTATTTAAAATATTATTTTGTAAACTAATTAGAATGTTCTGGAGTTTTAAAATTGAACCCCATTGATTCTCTGATAAAATTATTTTGTTTTATTTGATTTCAATAATTCAAATACCTGCAAATGCCAAGAAAACATGATCATCTAATGGACAGATTTTGCGTACTGTTCTGGCTTCTTGTAATTTAGCAACTGACTTTCTTTCAACTCCAAGTGCTACAATATTAGTTCCTCTTACCCCAACCTGATTTAAAAATGTAAAATTAATATTTCTTTCAAACCATGATTGATTTATAAAATTTATAAAATTCAAGAATCTTAAAAATAAGAAAACAACAGGTAAAACACTATTTATTTTTTAAAAAAACATGAAAAGAACTAAATTTTTTTCTTTTATTTACCGCAGTTGACCCTTTTTTCACAGCTTCTTGGGCATATTCAACTTGAAAAAGATGACCATCAGGAGAAAATATTGTAATAGCTCTGTCATAGTTTGCAGACATGTTTTTGGAAATTTTACCTAGCGGTTTCTATTTAAAAAAGCATTTTTCTGTTATATGCATCCCAAAGAAAACATAAAAATATGCACAGCAAGTAATATATCATTAACTTGATTCTAATTTACTATATTCAAAATTAATATTGAAGCTGTGTCACTGTGACCTTTATAGTAAACAAGAAAAACTGTAATAAATTTTTATATGAAATAAATAGCAGAATATTGGTATTCTGCTGAAATTTAAAAATGGAACAAAAAAAATCAGTCTGAGCATCTTTTATTAATATATAGACTAATAAAGTAGAATTAAGATAGAATTTATTTATATTTAAACGGCATCAAAGTTTTGGTATATTACTTTTTAAAACTGATGCGTCATATCGAAGTGCTCAAAATCCGTTTTATAGTCGTTCGGGAAGTTTAACACGCGCACGGTTAAGTTTAGGCTAACTCTAAATTATTGCACACTCTTACCAGTGACGAATAGCGTCAAGTTTTTGAGGGAAACTTAATTATATTGCTCAAAGGTTTTTGCCTACTATATATCTTTACTAAAGAAAAAAAAATTAACTGATTGAATATATTTGAAATATTATCATTTATTTACACCATCATAAATATGCATTTTAGGACTTCGGTAATAATTTATACGAAAAATAATCTCAATATATTTATCAAGCAAAATTCTTACAAATAATAATTCGAAAAAAATTTTAAATTTATTCAATAAGCTTTATATATTAATCTTAGTAGTTTCTAATGATATTTTTATTTTTTTAATGTTTTGATTACTAAAAAATTGCTTATACATCTGTATATATTTCTAAATCTCTGTTTAGGGTCGGCGCGAATAGGTGTCACTTGGGGGAGGGAGAAGTTGTAAAACTCAAATTTTTACTGACAAAAAAAAAAAAAAAAAGTTCCTCGTTTTTTGAAATTTGTCGACTGACTGATCTAACAGGTCTACATTTGCCGACAAATTTGTCTAAAAGGGTCAAGTTTGTCGACTAAATGAACAAAAAGTTCATTAAGGGTGTGGAGGGTTAGAGGAGGAAATTTTTATTGGGGGAGGGGGTGAACGAGGGATGTTTCTCCCTTCTTCGCGCTGGCCTTGTATCTTTAATTATTTAAATTTGCAAAATAGTTATTGCAAAATATTTTTTTAATTGGTAAAACAATTTACTTTTTTTATATATCAGTACTTTTTATTATTTTTAAGTTAATCTTTATTTTTTTAATAGCAAAAAGAAGAACTATGATGGTTCTGAAACATGACAAAAAGAAGAACTATAATGGCTCTGAAACATGACAAAAAGAAAAACTATGATGGTTCTGAAACATGAAAAAAGAAGATGAAAAAAGAAAACATAAAAAAAGAAGATTTTCATGAAAAAAGATGAAACATGAAAAAAGAAGATTTTCATGTATCAGATGGCTCTGAAACATGAAAAAAAAGAAGAACTATGATGGTTCTGAAATATTAAAAATGAAGAACTATGACGGTTCTAAAACATTACAATAGAAGAACTATGGTGGTTCTGAAACATTAAAATAGAAGAACTATGATGGTTTTAAAACATTAAAAAGAAGAACTATGATGGTTCTGAGACAATAAAAAAGAAAAACTATGATGGCTCTGAAATATGAAAAATCATTGGGAATAATTGTAAGCTATTGGAATCAAACATCGATACTTTTTGATTAGTTTTCTAGCAGATGGAGAAAGTTGGCAAGATCAAAGTTCCTTGGAACTGCGACAAACACTAGACTTCTATAAAAAATTTGCCAGTCTAGCAAAGTATTTATTAATATTTTATTTTTAAAAAAATACTTTTCTTATTTTATTTTACAAATTGTCGGCCCTTTATTTTGTTGAAAATAAAAAATAAAAATATCATAGTACAATTCAATATATTTTAAATGGTTAAATTATAATTTTTTAAATTATATGAAAATTATTTTAGTCATTTCCGAAGTATTTTTAAAAGGATTTATAATCAAATTACTTTCTTTGTTTAGTGATGTTAGATCAACAGTTCCTGAGATGATTATAGGTTTAATGAAAGGTGTGAAGAATATTTTTGAAGATTTATTACATTTGCTGGATCTGATTGTATAGAAGAAATGCCATATTTACATTACTTAAGATTACTAACATTATTAACTATTCTATGCTAGGTTTGAATGGGGTTATGGAATGTTTAACTGTAACGCGAGTGAACTTTTAAATAAACGAATCAGGTTTTCAGAATTAAACGAGACGAATTTAGACAGCGCAAGGTTCCAAACCTTAATTAAGTTAATGCATTTACGGCAGCTCATACTAACGGATTCTCTTATGCCAAAAAAAACAAGATTTTATTTGCTCTATTTGCAAAACACCTGGACACAATAAGAAAAATAAAAGCTGTCCTCTGCACCCTAGTCATCCAGCAATACACCCTAGTCATCCATCAATACAATTTGGCGTATCGGACGACGAAGTTTTATAAATTATATTTTTATCTAAAATACTGTCATGTTAGGAATTATTGTCTTAAATATTCTTTGTTTTTGTTTTTTTTGTATAATATTGTAATTAGTATTAAAAATGCTTCAGTCTCTAAAGATATTTAATTTATATAGAACTATTTGTTGGTTTAATTATTTTTTAAGAAACCTTCATAGAAAATGATATCTAGTTTTAAATTCCTTTTCACAACAGTACTTTTAACAATAAGGTTTTTGATACATTTTCATTTATACCAAACCCAATTGAAAAGAACATCGAAATCGGTTTTATTTACCTGCAATCTATCCCTAAATTCAGTAAACTCCTATTTCGACTGTGTTTTTTATGTCCACAACCATCAATATAATATTTTTTTATGCGGACAAATAGTTAATAATTACCAAAAAAGACTCCGGATTTGAAAGTCACAAAATGAATACATCTTTGTGGTTATACCAAAAATGTAAAATGTAAAAAAAATGTTAATTTTGGGGATAAAGTGCAACTTTATCCCAAATATTAACTAGGACTCCGGGCTAATAAACGATAGTTTCTAAGTCATAAAATTTCGTAATATATAAATATTTTTCTTAATACGAACCATATGTTACTAGAGGTAATAAAAACTAATTATAAATCACATAGTGCAACGACGTACAATGTGATTTATAAATGCGCTGTGCGACGCTCAAAAAGGCAATAATTATTACAATTATCAGTCAACATTCTTATTTAAAGAAATATTTGTACAATAAAAATTCTTCCCTTCAAGCATTTGGTACGTATAAGACGTTTAAAACACTAATTATTGCCAAAATTATAAGGTGCCCATAACATTATAGGCAAGAATCAGGGGCGAGTAGGTGTCACTTACAGAAGGGGGTTGTAGAGAGCTATTACAATTGCTCACACTTATAAAAAAAAGTCCTCGTTTTTTGAAATTTACAGACTAATTTGTTTATAAGTGTCAAATTTGCAGACTAAATGAACAAAAAAATTCATTCAGGGAGGGGGGTCACACTTTTCCTATGCTATATATATATACTCTTGCATGTCTTTTGCATGGCATCAAAAAAAGTTTCCCATAAACTGTAGTTTTAAAGAGCGCGTTAATAAACCAGACCAGAAAAAGTTTTAAAAGTTAAGTTTTTTTTTTTAATTGATAGACTGCCTGGCCAAACCAAACCCTCAGTCGATGTAGCAGCACTCCCTTGCGAGTCAGGCTATTTGTCAGTCGATGTAGCAGCATTCCCTTGCGAGTCAGGCTATTTGTCAGTCGATGTAGCAGCACTCCGTTGCGAGTCAGGCTATAAGATAGTCGATGTAGCAACAATACGCAAGTTTTAAAAATGTTTTTCATTAAATCAATAACAAAAACACCACTAATTAAAAAAAACTTTCTAGTCGTTATAATTGCGGTTTTTTAAAAATTTTGTAAAAAACAATTAAATTTAATGTACTTCCGCATAAATTAATTGCTTTGACATTTCGATGACAATCAAAAACAGCTTAAGAGACGAGGTAATTAAAATTGTAGTCGTAAGAGACTTTTTTACATTAAAACGCTCTTTCGACTACACTATATGGATATATATATATATATATATATATGTATGTATATATATATATACACTTTTTTTTTTTTAATATATATATATATATATATATATATTTTTTTTTTTTTTTTTTTTTTTTTTTTTTTTTTTACTACACAAGTATCCGTATATATTTCAATAAAACAAAATTACATATTTTTACATATAAGTACAAAACGTACGATAAAACAATTTTTGTACCATTAAAATTTTTACAAAATAAAAGAAATTCAATATTCTGTTTAGCGCATGCGCGTTGTACAGTGTACAAAATAAGGTAACTATTCGTTGTTTATAATATAAAGTGCTGGCTATTAACCCATGCATTTAAAAAATATATGCAAGTCCGTCGTACCCCATGGCTACTAGGGACTTGCTTGTGGACGTTGTTGAATATATATATATATATAAATATTCTTAAAAAATATTTGTCTTTGTTGTAAGGAAACTCGCAGAAGACTAAAATAGTCTTTTCATCGAGAACCTTTAAAACATAAAATAAACTTTAATGAACTAGTTCAACAAATACACATAAGTATTTTGGTATCTACTACATAGTAGAAGTAGTATGGCTTTTTATTATTACTATTTTTCCCAAATTGTTTAATACATTTCAATGAAGTTGGTTAAGTTAATTATGAAATGTTTTAGTTTTTTTTTCAGAGCAATAAGGTTATCCATTTTATTAAGTTCCATATTTTGAAGCATTATTTTGTTATGTAAGTATAGGCCACGGTATATTAAAGAAAATTGCGAGAATTTTGTTTTTTTTTAAGGCAAGGTGAAGTTGCCTGTTCCTCGTGTGATACATTTGTTTTCGTTGATATGAAAAAAGCTATCAGTAAAGTATTTCGGAACAAGTCCGAGTTTGTATTTTAGCATGAATAAGATATTTTGGTGAATATTTATTTGATAGATATTTAATGCATTCAAATTTTTAAGTAAAGGGTTGGCATGAGTGAATTTATCTTTATTATAAATTAATCTTGATGCATGTTTTTGGTGTATGTAGAGTGAAGTTAATTTAGTTTTATGGGTACTTCCCCATGCAATATTAGCGTATGTTAGGTAACTTTGAATATAAGAAAAGAAGAGAATTTTTAAGTTGTCTTGGGAAAGCATAGGTTTGGCTTTGTAGAGTACGCCGATACTTTTTGATATTTTT